CCCAGGAAAAAAAATAAAAAATCCTACCACATATGCACCCATGTTTGTAGCAGAACATTTTGTAATAGCTATATCTTGGAAACAACTCAAATGTCCATCAATCAAGGAATGGATAAATAAGATGAAGTATTTTTATACAATAGAATACTGCTCAGTCACAAAGAATAAACTTGAGACTCTTATAGGTAAATGGATGCTTTGAGAACATACTCATAAGTGAAATAAATCAGACTTGCATGTGTAAACATTGTATTGTCTCTCTAGGGTGAGAAACTGAAAGAGTAAGTTCCAAACTGTACAAGAGATACCGTGAAATGAGAAGAAGCTGTTCAAAGGGAAGGAGAAACTAGGGCGGGCAAAAGGAGAAAAGAAGGAAGGGAAAAGGAAAAGAAACTGCAAACAGGGTAGTCAAGATAGTTTACTACTAATTTCTCTTAGCTCATTGAAAAGAAAGGTTTGTGCTTATACTGTTCAATAAATTTTTCACACATATATCCTGTAATCTGAGCAACTATTTTGAAGATAACAATATAAAATGTGTTACCCATTGTTACCTGCCTATTATCGTAGGAGTGGACATATATAGTTAGAGAAACACTTCTGTGTTAAAGGGTCCCAGGAAGACACCCTGAATGAAATCAATGTTTGTTTCAGCAAGAACTTACTGAAATCTTAGACACTAGGAGCACTAGGCACAAAGAACACAAAAATGTTCTCCAAATTGATCAGGATGCTGGTCTCCTCAGAAATCAACAAAGCACTGGCTTTTAGTTTCTTGAGGCACACACAGTTACAGTTTTCATAAACCCATACAGATATCTGGTTATTTTTATAATCATCTTTTTGATAAACACAGCTCCAGTGAGAGTTTCTGTATACTTAGCTAAGGCAATATTTAACCATAAAATAATAAAAAAAGCAGTAAAAATTGAATTGGGCTAATTCACGATAATTAATCTCTAGGGTGTCAGCTGAAATGTTATTGTGCAGGCAAAAAGAAAGAAAGGGGCAGGGAGAGAGAGACAGAGGGAAAGAAAGAAAGAAAGAAAGAAAGAAAGAAAGAAAGAAAGAAGAAAGAAAGAAAAAAAGAGAAAGAAAGAAAGAAAGAAAAAGAAAGAAAGAAAGAAAGAAAGAAAGAAAGAAAGAAAGAAAGAAAGAAAGAGTATAAAATAATAAAGAAACACATTTTCTGAGAAAAGAAGAGGTCTGGGGATAAGTGGACAACGGACTCCTTAGCTGGATGATGCTTGACCCTGCTGTCCATCTGCTGTCCTGGGTGCTTTGCTATGTCTTTGTGTGAGAATGATCACCTACATGTCACCATGAGGAGAGAAGAGGAGAAGGCTTAGAAGAGGGAATGCCACGAGTGTAGTGTCTTAGTCACTTCTCCGAGGCTGGGACACAGTACCTGATACAGACTATTTAAAGGAGGGGAGGCTTATTTTGGCTCACAGTTAGCTCACAATTTGGCCAGCTCCACAATGGCATGACAGAGGGTTAGAGCAGAAGAAAGCAGTTCACATCATGGCGGCCAGGAAGCAGACAGTGAAAGGAATGAGACACGTCCTGCCAGGTCACGTCCCCAGTGCAGCCCCACTCCCAGCCAACCCCTACTTTTTGACAATTCACTCAGTGGCTGAACTCACTAAGGATGAATCCATTATGAGTATGGCACCCCATGATCCAACCACCTTCCAAAGGCTCTGCCTCTGAGTGCATGGGGTTTGGGGGAGACCTTCCAGAACTGAATGACCACAGCTGGGGAAAAGGAAGAGACGAGAGTCTAGGGAAATTGGTGCAGGGACAAGAATGTAGCCAGACACTGGAGAGAATGGAATGGGAGAGGTAGGAAAGGATTGAAAAAGAGCCAATGAATACAAGAAGAGGAGAAATGAGCAAAAGGCAAAGCATGACTATGACAGGAAAGACGTTTTATGGATGAGAATGAGAGGGAAAAGGGAAGCAGTTGGATAGAGAAAAAAAAGATGTCTAAAAGTGAAAGACAGGCTTTAATAAGAGAGACAGAGTGAGACGTCCTCAACATTCTCTCCTCGTGCAGGGTGCTGGGATCAAATGTTTGCTGTTGCCACAGTCAGCTGACAACCTAGCAATGGGCCTAGTAGTACAGGGACACGTCTCGGTCTGCACAAGAGCAATGCCTCTCGGTTCTTCCTCTGAGTCACTGCACTTGCTGTCCAGCCAGCGGAGCCGTTCTTACTGCACAGGACAGAGCTGTCTAGGAAGATGGGCTTGAGGGTGAGGTGGCCTAGACCTGTCTGGAAGATCCTCTGCTCCTTGCCAGGGAGAAATCCACCCTCACGCAGAGAGTGGATAATGTTCAACTTCCCTGTCGATCAGAACAAAGTGAAACTTCATCTGCTTCTTTGAGAACTGTAAGTATTCAACACATCAGCATAAGAGAAGAGGCCAAAGGAGAGGTTTTGTGTTCTATTTGGCCAACAGGTCTCCGCTCTGACTCACAATACTCCTCCAAGAAAACAACCTAAGAGTGTTGTATATTGTCTTCAAGCTGCATTTATTAGGCTATTAGTGTTTGAAAAATGGTGGTACCTGTAGGGTTGCCTGGTGTGAAGAATAAATAAAAGACCCTCATTGTGTCTGTTTAAAAATGGGCATAATGTAATTGCACATACCTTGTAATCCCAGTTCTTGGTAAGCTGAGGCAGGAGGATCATGTGAGTTTAAGGCCAGACTGGGCTACATAGCAAGACCCATGAACACTCGATCCTATGTGAGATGTGATGTTGCATACATGATTTTGAGATGGGCGATAAGCCTAGATTATGTAGACGGAGTCAATCTAATCACTTGAGTCTAACAATGAACCTTTTTTAGATGTGATCAGAAAGAGATGTGATGACTAAACAGGATCAAGGAGTTTCCACAACACTGGCCTTGAAGACGGAGAAAGGAAGCCAGAAGTCAGGGAATGCGAGTCCCTAGAAGCTGGAAGACACAAAGAAATGGATTCTTCCCTAGGGCCTTGGAAGTATGCTGATGCATGGTTTTACCCTGATGAAATTATACTGGAATTCTGGAAGAGTAAAGTAATAAATATGTGTTGTTTTTAACCGATTAATTTGTGGTGATTTGTTACAGCAGAAATAGAAAACAAAGGCACAAGAGGACAAGAGAAGAAGACTTTAGGCAAGGAGGGAGGGAGAAGGGTCAAGGCAGAGCCATGGGAAGAGATAGGACCACTCTCTCTCCTTGGCTGCAGACTATATAGCATGAGCTCTGCACTGCTGACTGTGGACAAAAGCATAAACTGGCATTGAAATGTACACATCATGTGAATGTATTTGCACACTTTAAATAGTAAACTCGGTTCTCCCTTCTGGAGCATTTCTTCTCTATTTCATCATATATCACTGTTGCTGTTTATTACCTTCCTATAACTTCTCGTGGGTGTCACTATCTTGTTTTGTTTCTAGATTATATTACCACTTGATCTCACCTTAAAATATAAGCTCCCTTAGCCTACATTAGACTGAGAGCTTGAGAACAAAAGGAATCTCTGTGCCAGCCCGTCACTGTACTTAGCATGTTCACTCAATACAGAATGAATGGGGCCATTTTCCATGTCTGCTGAACTTGTCGTCCTGAGGCCTCTGCTGCCCTCACACGGACTACCACAATGTAGGTGTGAACAAAGGAGGAAGTTTTCCCTTCAGCTTTTCATAGTCAGGGAATTGATTTATTTGCAGTAGTTAAATGATTTATTAAAGTTCATTTTGTTTTGTCCTTTGGATTAACCTTAGTCTTCAGATATGTGTGCAGTGAATATTAACTTTTAATAAGTTCATGGGATGATTTTGAGAATCAAAACACTAAAATAGTCATCATACAAGGATAGGAAAATATCTGCACTTATTCAGTGAATTTGGTTGAACATTGAAAGTCCTTGAAAATTGCAAGAAAATTGATCCGAAGGGGAGCCAAATGTTGGACCAGCCAAAGGTCATATATAAAAAGACTGGGTGGAGATGGAAAATAATCTAGGTCTGATGTTCAGTTTAGACTTTTTTTTTCTTAAGCACCTTCTTTCCCCTGTAGGCCCATCTGAAAGTGGGTGGGACCCAGGCAAATTCTGTTCTATCTTGTGTTTTTTAGCACTTCTCATTTATTTCCCCCCAAATTATCTTTGTACTGTTGAAATTAGGTGAAAAGATTTATGAATCTTAGCTTTTATAAGCACCACTGGTCACTGGAGAGTGAGCTGTGTTCCTTTCTCATCTGATGCCTGTTCCCCCAACCAGCATTTACAGGGCGGCCATGATTGGACCCTTTGAGGTTGCCCAGGACATTCAAACCCATCCACAGCAACTAAGTGTACTGTTCTTCCCTTCTGCAGCTCTTTTCTCCATTTCCTCCGTTTTCTTACTGGTGTCTCATGGTTTTCCTCAGACTGTGGTTCTGGAATGTCCCAGATAATTCTGCTCTTGGCCTGTCCCTGGTCTGACACTCAGAGACTGATTCTGGCCTTGCTGCACTGGTCCCCTTCTGGCTTCCGAGACAGGACTTGATGTTCCAGCCCGGCTTCCCAAGGCCCGGCCCGCTCCAGGTTTCAGTATCTAACTCAGCATGTGACATGTCGTCTGTGCTAGGGTCGTCTCTGCTTTCTGTTTTCCTTTTTTTTTTTTTTTTTCCTCACCTCCTATGGTAATCATCATGTGAAGTATTCATGATGGAATGCTCTCTTCTTCTTCTTTTTTATGTACTATTGTCTCTTCAGAAACTGAAAATAGAGTGGTGGTGGCCAAAGACTAGAGGAAAAATAAAGAGGTTTTTTTTTTTTTTTTTTTTTTTTTTTTGTCATGAGGATAGAGTTTTAGACTTGCAAGATCTGGATATCTGTACAACTATATTCACAGTGTTTGAGCACATTTAACACTATTGAACTGTACACTTAAAAAGGGCTGGCATATTAAATTTCATATTGTGCATCTTTTACTTACATGTTTTTAAAATTCTTTTGAGGGGCTTGCACCATTCCTGCAGATACAATAGTAGGCTGATGGGTGAAGTGAATGAAGCAAGCTCCTATTTTGTTTCCTGTTCCAAAAATCATTTAGTATGTTGTCCTTAGAAAGAGGATGTATCAAATAGTAAACTGATAACAGATACTATACTTGTTCTTAGCCAAAACTCTGAGAAGTGAAATGTGTACTCTGTTTTATAACACTTTAAAATTAAAAAAAAAAAAGTTTTCTCCTGTGTTCTGTTATTTATAGTTTTTTGATATGGAATTGGGTGCCAAATTTACAAATGCTTATTCAGTTGAATTCTTTAGAAATAAAACCTAATAACATGCAACTATCTTTGAGTTTTCCCAAATCATTATTTCATACTTCACAAACATGATCCAAACAATATGGAAGTATACATTCCACAAATAATACTTGACTATCAACTAAATACTGCTCAACCTTCAAAGGTGAATTGAGTACAAGTTTATACTCTAATAAGAATGGTAGATCTGTCATTTACTTAGGCTGCTCTCTACAAGGAACTGTATGTATGTTTTGCATACATTATTTCTTTTACTGTTTTAACAGTTGAATGAAATATTCTTCTGTCTTTGGAGATATTTCCCTACTTGGAAAGCAAAAATAACATTAAAATCTGTTGAAAATGAAATTAATGTCTGCATGCCAAGTCCAGTGCTGAAGAATCTAACACACAACATTTTTTCCTCCATTTTAAAGATAAGGAAATTTAGGCACAGCCTGGTTAAAAGAATTTCCAAAGGCCAACTAGCTAAAAGCACAGAGATGGTATTGGAAAAACTGGTGACTTGCTTCTCACCAAACCTGCATAAATCTTTCTGCCATAATATGCAACCTTCTTATATACTGACAACATACATTGGAAAGTTGTTAAGTAATTTATGAATTCTACATGAAATAATGTTAGAAAGAAGAGATTTACGTCTGTCTGGAGTTGATCAGATAAGAAAAGGTTGCTAAGAAGGAGGAATAACATAAGCAAAGGAGCAAAACAAAGAATGCAGGGCTTGTGTACAATAAACAAGCAGTAAAATTTGCTAGAATCTCCCAAGCAAAAAAAGCAGAGGAATAGATTAGATCGAGAGGTGAAACAAATGCCTGAGCCTGCAGAACCCCGATGTCAACTGACAAGTTTTGGTCTTTGAGATCTATGTGAGCCACTAACCTTTTGCAAGCAAAGAAATGATAGGACCAAGAGTTTCACTTTAGATATGCTGATCTAGCAAAGATTTATAAAATAATCAGGGGAGAGGTCAAGAGAATGTACAAGAAAAATTAGTTGAACTTCTTCTCTCCCCTTAATTCCATCTCTCTTTAGATTAACATTGGCCTTAGCATTGGAAATGTGCCTTCAACAAAATCTATGACTCAGTAGTGTATATGCCTGAAGTTACTTGTTTTTAAATGATTTAAATATAATTTTTTTCACCTTCCCCACTAAAAGTCTGTAGGTTTAAAACATAATTCGAATCTCATTTTCCAGATAGAAATCCAATTTGGCTTTGTTGTTACTGGTCAGATATTATATGATTTTATTTTTTTATTGCAAGCTTTTAGAATGGTTCACAGATGTTGCTGCTAAAATAGATCCTCCTGGAACTACTTGGTGAGAAAATCCCTGTTGCCATGAATTGAATTAATATGAGCTTTCTTTTTAAAATTTGAGGCTGTATTAGCTTTTTGGAAATAATAGTATTCCCTTAAGTTTATAGAAGGCAGTCAAGGGGACATTTGGAACACTAGCTTTGGGTCCACATCATTGCATTGAAGGTTGAGTTATGTTGTTCTTGTATCAAGATCATTTGTTCCCAAATTAACTAGGCTAACATTTTTGTAAACTAAGAAATGCATGTTCTATTTGGTCAGTTATACTAGATAAATATTATTAGAATAAGATTATTAAATAATCATATTTAATAATCTTATTCTAATAATATATTTAGTATAAATAGATAGCTGAAATAAATGAACAAAATATTACCAAAGTTAAATAAATATCACCTGGCCTAAATGCACTGACATGGCATAGGCAGCATCCAAAATGTGCCCCTTTGTCTTCTATTTGCTGTTCCCGTTGGCAATCTCAGCCTTTTATCCTAAGCTCAAGTCTTTGCTTCCATCCATATATGAAAGACCCGTACATCTACATCTCCGATTCTGACCTGTTTCTCAAGACCCAAATCCACATTATTCTATTATGCATGTTCCTTTCAAGCACCTGACATTCAAGATATTAAAACCAAATTTTCCATTCAATCCATAACACTGATCCTCCCATATAAGCAGTTTCCTGATTATGTGTTATACACCCCACATCCCCACACACTCCAAAAGTTTAGATAATGAGAACCATGTTCAAATAATCCTGGAAAGTTTTACATGTCACACTTTCTTGAAGATTTGGAATGAAAATTAAATGTCTAGATGCCTCCTGCTGTGGATAAAATGCTTATTTTGTTTATTCCACTATCTTACTTGATGGTGGCCCTCTCTGCTGAACAGTATCTGTTAACATTCTGAAAACCTCGTGTTTACAAAGACACTTAAGAACAGTGACTGTAAATCTACCTGCTATATACAATTCATTGTCTTCTTATGTAGTTACACCAAAAAGTGTTAACTAGACGTAGACTGCATGAATTCCTTCTTCACTTTATGACTTATGAATTGTGACATTTAAGCAAGTTACATCATGTCTCTGCTCAGTTTGTAGAGCTTTCAAATGTTTGACCTTTCTAAAAAGATTGTAAGACTTCAATGAAGTACTCCATTCAATTTGGTTAGAATAGTGCCCAAAACATAATATCTACTCAATAAATGTTTGCTTTTATTCTGTCTTGCTACCTCTAAAATGTCTTCCAAGTATGTATTGTATCCTAAGGCCCTTGACACCTCCACAGTGTCTATACTCATCATTGCTTCCTTGGACGATAATATTAGCAATTTGCACCTAGTTGGTTATTTATACACTGATTCAATGTTTTCTTGTACATTACCCAATTAAGCTAATAAATACTTCATTTACTCTGTTCATAAACACTCTACTTTGCAATTCAATCACCACATTGCCATTTAATTATTTTGAAAAGCAAATCTAATGATGCCAATCCATGCTCAAGAACAATTAATGGTTCTCCATTATCTGTGTAATAAAGGTAAGTAACAACTCCTCATCATGGTGGACACACCCCTGCTTTCACATTCCTCCCAGACAATTGTATACTTGAGCCTCTCTGCAACACTCACCCAGTGTAGAAACTGTCCTTACTTCCTCTCCCACTTGTTAAAAATCTTCTTTAAGGTCCACCTTTCATTTCACCCACTCCGTGAAACATTTCTCCATTTAATGTTAGCACTTTTCATATTTTAAAAATATAACATACAGTATTAATGCTGTATCTCACATAATTAATTGTACAGACTTTCTTCCACAGTAAATTGAGCTCGGTGGTGATGGGTGATATCCTATCTGTTCTTTTGTACTTTATACACCAAAACCAGTGCCTTACATATGTGGTTGGAGCCCATATAAATAGTATTAGCGGCATTTGTTTATATAGAGGATTTATTACCATTAGTATTATCATACTTCAAGCAAATATTACTCTGTGAAAGTCAATTGTTTGAAGTTCTTTCTTAGCCAAAAGTTTCTGCTCATTACAAAAGAATTCACAATGGGACTCTTTTAATGGAAAAGGAGGCAGTATCTTTAAATAAAAACACAATCATGAGGAAATTTTGCAAAACACGCCCACAACACATACCTGTATCCACGATCTTCCCAGGATTCAGACTTCTTGGATAGTATCATGTTTTCATTGGGATTCTCTTAAAATAAATATAAAGACCAATTAATAGACTGGCCCTATAAGAAAATGGTATCTTCATTTTTCCAACAGAGATTTCCAGGTTGGCTGTCAGTTGAGGTGATCTAATCTACAGTCTTACTCTCTAATCTAAGTTCACATGCAAGTCAGATGTCTCTAGCTTGTTTCTGATTCGGTGACCTCATCTCCTTCAAGAGCAACATCCTTCCTTCACAGGGCTGCTTTAGGAAAATCACACTGGAGGCCTATCTACAACAGAAGCAAATTTTCCATATCTAAAATATAGTACCCAGCTGCGTGTCTTTCTCAACACCTCTGGCGGGTGTTGGTTTTGGAAATATTGGCTAGAAGTAGGAGGAGTCTGTCCTCCATAAGCCTTCCATTTTCCTGCCAATGCACTTAATTAATCTGTTTCCCAAAGAAGCTTAAATGTTTATATTTGAAAGACATAGTTTTAAGTGTTTTCTTGCTTTATGATTGCTACAGGCATGGTGTCAGACTCAAGTAGGAGATGTCTCCCAGGCAGGAGAAATGAAAGGCCAGTGTTGTAGAGCACATTCTCTTTGTTCATTCTGATTTTTACTGATTCACACTTAATATGCACAACACAATACTCTGGCCCTCTTAGTCATTACTGCTCCCATACTTGGATAGACTGACTTCGTTTCATCAGTTAATGATAAACTATTATCTATCCCTGCTACATCTCTGCCAAGAGCTTTTTCCCCCAGAAACTACTTTATAGTTATTATCTAATCTTTATAAAACCATGGAGGAAGTTTTCCCATCTAGCAGATGGTAAATGATTAAGGAGCAGACAGTTAAAGAATCTGCTCAAGGTGACATGGCACTTCACAATGGAATAATACTGAGAGCCCATTTTCCAATCGCTACTTTTCCATAGTTCAACTTGCAAACTTCATAACACTGTCTGAGTTTAAGATTATTTACAGTTGTCCCATTTTTCTTACAAATCATTGAGTTACTTAATAAAATAAGACCATGTATATGTATGCATGGGACAGAATTAAAATTGGTCAAGAAAGAGTTATATGCTAATTCTATTATTGTTTTTCACCAATTCTGGCTGTTAGTCACATATGTATGAAGCAATTGCTTCATTATGAAAGCAGTTACAAGCACAAGTATAACTATACACAGAAAGCTGTCAAGCCTTTCCCCAAAATTATGCAAATTCCCAAACTAATTTTGAGGAATATATTTTCAGTTTAAAACTTTTAAAGGTATTTTCTAGAACATGTTTGCACTCATTACAGTGATATTGCTTTTATTGACAGTATGATCTGTTATTGACTGATAATTACA